GGGGGGGGGGGGGGGGGGGCAGAAGCAGAGCCGCCCCCATTGCTTTGATGGGAAAAGGTGGAGGGTCCAGGAAGGACGTTTTTTTCTGACTATTTTCCAAAAAGGGGGGTGGGTGGAAACAGAAGGAAGACTCCGATTCCGGGACCACCAAGTAAAATCAGGACAGAAAAAAAGAGTTCTATAATGTTTCTCCACCATGGCAACTTTTAAGAGGGGTGGACTACAACTCCCAGACTCCCCCAGCCAGGGGAATTCTGGGAGTTGAAGTCCACCCAGGTTGACAAACCCTATCCTAAGCCTTTCAGTGCAGCTAGTCCTCAACTTAACAGCTACTTTGAGTTGCAGTGGCCTTGGGGGGGGGAAAAAAAGGGACTAACGGTCGTTTTTCACACTTACGACTGTTTTTCGCACTTGCCACCGTTGCAGTGTGGCTGCGTGATCAAAATTTCAGACGCTTGGCCACTGGCTCATATTTACGACAGTCACAGAGTCACGCGATCCCCTTTCGCGACCGTCTGACGAACAATGGGGGAAGCCAGGTTCATTTAACAGCCGTGTTACTAACTTAAGAATTGCAGTGATTCGCTTAATGACTGGTATGAAAAGGGGGGGTTAAAAAAAGGGGCATAACTCAACGACTGACTGGTTTAGCAATGTATGTTTTGGGCCGAATTGTGGTAAGTTAAGGACTATCTGTGCATCAACAACCAATGACTCCAAGCCTGAATCCTGAAAAGTTCTGCTCTTAAGACATTTGCGCATCATGCCCAGATGTGTGTCATTTGCACACCTGCACAGCATGCCCAGATGTGTGTCACAACTGGCAGAGATGGCGACATTTCTGCCAGAGGGACGTTGCAACCAGAATTGACTTTCTGGGACTTTAGTTTCTTTTGGACAAAGTGGATTATTTAGATTATTATTTATTATTATTGAGGTTGTTCAGATTCTTTTGGACGACACGGATAATTTCCTGCTTCTTTACAAGGTTCATTTTGTGACAGGGTTTTAGGCAGGGTTTTTGAATGGGTAGAGGAATGTTGGACTCTGAAACAAAAGACAATTGTGCTGGGTTTTTTCCTTGCCAAATGTTTCCGGCCTCTGCTTTCTAAACTTTCCCAATCTTTCAAATTGGGGTCATGAAATGTCTACAACAAAACTACCCAGCTCAGAGAAGCATCAAAGACCCCCCACAGTCCCCCTCCCCCTCCCTTCTTGCACTGATGATGTTGCCTAGTTGGGCCATGAAACGTCTGCACAAAAACAACCCAGCTCAGAGAGCATCCAAGGACCCCCCGCAGTCCTCCATTAATTTTCCCCATGGGTCGCATGAGAAATTTGAACTGTTGTGGAGGGCCGAAACAACAGGGGTGTGTGAAATTGGGTAAGCTAAAAATTAATTATTGCCTTCAAAACAAAAAGCAATCCCAGGGGACCTGGACAGAGCCAGCCAAAAGCTCAGATTTAGCCTGGAGGCCATAAAAAATGCCCAGGTCTGCTTTAGATTCATTAGTTCATTCATTCATTCATTCATTCATTCATTCATTCATTCATTCTCTCTCCCTCCCTCCCTCCCTCTAAATCTAATATCTCCCTCATCCTTTGATGGTGGGTGAAGATTTGTAAACACAAAAAAATTAAACACCTCCTTTTATTTTTCAGGCCTGGAAGGAAGCGAGATTATAGTCCGGTTTCCTGGAACCAATATTTTGAATCTATGGAAGATGTCGTGGTTGACACCGACTCTGGCAAGGATATATCCTTCTCTTTTGGTCTCTGGTGTATTTATTCCACTTGCCTAATCTTGATGGTGCGGTTAATAATTGAAGCCAAGGGTTCTCCCAGCTCCATTTAGCACGCACGTCTTCTTGCTAGATGACTTTCGAATTAAAAATGCAAAAACAACTGGGGGCCAGCCATCACTTCCTTTTTTGAAAACCAAAAAAGAAGAAAGCTATAGGTCATCTAAGTCGCCTCTATTAATTAATACGGGTTGTCCTCTCATTAGGACCAGTCACTTAGCAATTCTTCGTAGTTACGGTTAAGTTCCCTGGGTCTATTTCCAGCCCGCTAACCATCTTGGCTAGTCTAGGGAAGAGAAGGACCAGGGGAGACATGAGAGCATCTTCCAATAGTTGAGGGGCTGCCCCAGAGAGGAGGAGAAGGGGTCAACCTATTTTCTAAGGCACCCGAAGGCCAGACAAGGAATAATGGATGGGAACTGATCAAGCAGAGAGATTCAACCTGGAAATAAGGAGAAGCTTTCTGACAGGGAGAACAATCCACCCATGGAAGAGAAGTTGCCTTTGAAAGTTGTGGGACCTTCATCCCTGGAGGCTTTCAAGAAGAGACTGGACTGCCCTCTGTTAGAAACAGTATAGGGTCTCCTGCTTGGGCAGGGGGTTGGACTAGATGACCCACAAGGTCCCTTCCCACTCTGTCAATCTGATTTATTGCTCTTTTCTGCGCTCTTTCCAGAGTCCCAACATCTTTTTTTACATCGAGGTGACCAAACCTGGATGCCGTATTCCAGGCGTGGCCTTACCAAGGCCTTATAAAGTGGTACTAACACTTCACGTGATCTTGATTCCAAGGTCCCTCCAAGGTCCCTCGCAGCCCTAGGATTTTATGATTCTATACAGTAGTGTTCTGCCAAGAGTATATTCATGAACTGGAATAAGTGCTTGGTAACAAGGTCAGCCCAATGAATAGGCATAGCAACTAAGTCAGCCAATGAGGACTGTTTGGAAACTGAAACTAGAAGTAGCCTAGGCATGGCTCTGTATTAAGCTCTGAAGCTATGTTAAGCGCCGAGTCTTTCTATTGAAAATGAAACGGCTTCTCTCCTCTGCTGTGTGTCTTGCTTGCCTGCTGAACTAAAGTGAAACTGAGGTCTGTTTCCGAGCTCCTGCGTTGCTGCTGTTCTGCTCTGAACCTGTAACATGTCTGCTTCTGTTTGGAGAAATCTACAACTGGTATTGTAAAATTGGCTTCATGTGTTTATAAAGAAGTTAAATGAAGCCTCAGCCATCTGTGTTTAGTTTTCTGGCGCTGAATTTACGCTGCATAACTCTGAACATGTTCTACCTCCCTCTCCTTTCCCCCCTTTAATCTGGAGTCTTTCCCAGGAGGTTGTCCTTTCCTTAACTGTTCATACACTTTTCGAGTTTACAAGAGTGGGTCCGAAGGTCCGGTGTTGCTCCTACTTCACGGCGGAGGTCATTCTGCGCTCTCCTGGGCCGTCTTCACCGTAAGTCCCTTCCTTGTTGGTTTCTTTCCGGGTTTTAGATTTTTAAAACCCCACCGAGCGACTCTGGGCATGTCGCTTATCTACAGGGCAGTTCCTCGGCGTACGGCCCTCAATGTTTCTTTCGTCGCTAAGCGAGACGTTTGTTTCAGTTGAGCTCTGCCCCCATTCCGCGACCTTTCCCTGCCACGGGGATGAAGCAAATCGTTTAATTGTCATTAAGTCAGTAACGCGGCCGTTAAGCGAATCCGGCTTCCGAAGGTCGCCCCAAAGGGGATTGCGTCAGCCCTGGGACCATTGTAAACATGAAACACCGCCCCCCCCGACTTGCCAAGCATCCGAATTTGGATCACGGGGGATGCTGCGAAGGTCATAAGTGCGAAAAACGGTCCTTTTAAGTCACTTTTTTTTTTTCAGGGACGCTGTAAGTTCGAACAGTCCCTAAACGGACTGTCGTAAGTGGAGGATTATCTGTACTCTGGCATCTCATTGGACAGGGGAGCTCCCATCGGTTTGCAATCCCTGCCCAGCTGTCGTTTTTTTGGGCAGGAAAAGCTTTTTTGTGAGGGGTTTTGTGGGTTTTTTTTTTTTTTGGTCAGCTGGTCTCCCAACAAAAACCTATTTTTAAAATGGCCTCTCAAGCAGAAATGCCGCTTCATTGTGGCAGGGCCCAAAATAACACTGCTAAGTGTTATAAATATAAAATATAAATATAAAATATAAATATAAAAAGCAGGGATATACCATGTTTCCCCGAAAATAAGACGCTGTTGTCAGGGCTCCAACAAATCCATCCCCATTCAAATCATAAGTCTCTAGCCGTATCTCTCAAGAGTAAAAAAAAAAAAAGATTTATTAGAAGTGACCATGTTGGCGTTAGCTGGGTGCAGCTGACACTAAAATACATAATTTCCCCCTTGACCCTGGTCTTCCCTCCACCCCCGGATATATATTCTCCAATGGGACATATCCATAGCCAAGAGTCATCAATCATGCTCTCCGGTAATAATCTTGCGTGGCAACAGCTTCGTCTGCCAAGCTGATTATCTGAGGCATTTACAGAATGCACTGCTTCCCCCCCCTCCACTCCCTTTCTGCTGGCAACTAAAAAGAGCAAAGGAGTATTATTTATTTTATTTTTTAATTGTCATCTCTCTCATATGTGTGTGTGTGTGTGTGTGTATGTGTATATATACATATACATATACATATACATATACATACATACATACATACATACATACATACATACATACATACATACATACATACATATATATATATATATAGCCACTAAAAAGAGGCACCAGGTCTTATTTTCGGGGAATGTCCTCCACTGACTAACCTCACTTGCGCACGTCACCCCTGGCCTCCTTTTCGCTGTCAGGGGCCTTAAGGAACTTCTACGTCCGGCAAGGCTATCCTGAAGGCCTCTGCAGTCGATAAGAGAGCTTTGGATCGATCCAGAGCTTTGTTCTCAGCTCCAGAGGCCTTCAGGAAAGCCTGACCAGCCTTGCCGGCTGCAGAAGAAATGGGCCGGCCAGGCAGGTGTTGAAATGTGTGCAAGGCCTAGCTACAACTGCACAAAGGGCAGTAGTAGGGCAGCTCCATCCTCCCCCCTCCCCACCCTAGCTTAATGTTCACCTGTGCTCTCTGGAGTAGGGGGGATATTAATTAGGGCTTATTTGGGTCTTAATTAGGGCTTGTGTTTTGCCTTTGGAAGAGATTTCTTTTTTTCAGGTGGGGAGGGAGAGTAAAACTCCTGAGCATTGGAGCGTGTTAATAATAATAATATAGGAAATACTCTCAATGCTCTGAGGGTCCTTTTGAAAAATCCTTTCTTAGTGAGCCCCTAGAAGCCAAGAGGAACCTACGAGCCAAATTTCAAGTTTGTAGGCTTTACGGTTCTGGAGATTTTGTGATGATGCACGAGGGGTATTTCATTTTGTATAAATATAGAGCAACCAGGATAATTAGGGGACTGGAGGCTAAAACATACAACGAACGGTTGCACTGGGCCTGGCTAGTCTAGTAAAGAGAAGGACCAGGGGAGACACGATAGCAGCCTTCCAATATTTGAGGGAGGGGCTGCCACAGAGGAGGAGGGCGGGTCAAGCTATTTTCAAAAGCCCCTGAAGGCCAGACAAGGAATCATGGATGGAAACTGAACAAGGAGAGATTCAACCTGGAAATAAGGAGAAACTTTCTGACAGGGAGAACAATCCACCCATGGAACAGAAGTTGCCTTCAGAAGTTGTGGGAGCTTCATCCCTGGAGGCTTTCAAGAAGAGATTGGACTGCCAATTGTCAGAAATGGTGTAGGGTCACCTGCTTGGGCGGGGGGTTGGACTAGATGACCTACAAGGTCCCTTCCAACTCTGATTATCTGTTAAATCTGATTTGAGTCATTTTATCTCTTTTCTTCAGGCCACCATCGTCAACCGTATCCAGTGCAGGATCGTAGCTTTGGATCTAAGAGGACACGGTAAGCCGTTCCAAGCCCGTTCTCTTCAGAGTCGAGCCTGATTCTGTGGGATTTCACAGGGAACCAGGGAAGTTTTCTTGGCAGGAATTCAGGTAGTCCTCGACTTACAACAGTGTGTTTAGTAACAGTTCAGAGTTACAAACGGGACTGAAAAAAAGGGACTTAGGACCATTTTTCACACTTACGACAGTGGCGGCCCCTCCATGGCCACGCGATCAAGAGTCAGATGCTTGGGTAACCCAACTCGTATTTATGACGGTCTCGTGCTCCCCTTTTGTGACCTCCTGACACGCAAAGTCAGTGGGGATTCGCTTAACGACTGTGGGAACTAACTTAACTGCAGGGATTCGCTTAACGACTCTGGCAGGAAAGGTTGTAAAATAGAGCGAAATTCATTTAACACGTGTCATGCCCCTGTTGGAGTCTGACTCCGAGGGAGAGATGGAACAGCTGACAGAGAGTGGGAGTGTGGCTTATGGAGGAAACTGGGGAAGGGCAGAGGCCGGCTGGGCATTCAGAGGAAGACCCAGGCCCATCCCCTCTTCATCCTAGGGCACGCAGGGAGGAGCGGATAAGGGAGCAACGTGAATGGCATGGACTACGGGGGAGGAAAGGGCCCTGATCCCCTTCATGGGCTGCAGCTGGGAGGACTGTTTAAAAGGACAAACTGCACATGGCAAAGTTGCTGGAAGCAAAGCGTGAAATTATTCCTGTCACAACTTATCTGTGTTCTGGCTTCCTCCCAACTGTGGTTGTTGCGTTATCTGGTAGACGTCTGCAATTAATCATCCTTATCATGCCTGCCTACTAATTCCTTCAGTGTGGTTTGTGTTGGGTTTTTTATTTTGTATTAACTCTACTTTGGGTGTGGACTGCATTTACTCCCTCCGCAAACTCTTTTCTTTAAGAGTTTGATATCCAGCCAAGGATAATTGGACATTGGGGCCAAGTTGGAGGCATTAAAGGGACTTTCTTCTATTTTTGTGACTTGGTTATTTTTGTGTCATACCCTGGGTCATCACATTGCATCTCACTTAGCAACAGAAATGCTGGGCTTGATTGTGGTCATAAGTCGAGGACTACCTGAATAGAAGCTGGCTGAGTCTTGTTGAGCCCATCCTGATGTGTTCGTGTGCCTATCCAGGTAGATTTCTATCCCGAGAATTTATTAATTATTTGAGAAACATCAATATGAATATCATATTGTAATACGCAGCACGAATACCAATGCAACTCAGGTAGTCCTCGACTTATGGCCAAATTTCTGAGCCTCAAATTTCTGGTGGTAAGCCAGGCATTCATTGAGCCTTGTGAATCACTGCAGTTATTGAGTCACACAGTTGTTAAATGAATCGGGCTTCCCCCTTGACTTTGCATGTCGCAACCCCCAGGAAATTGAACCCGTCATAAATTTTGAGTCAGTTGCCAAACATCTGAATTTTGATCGTGGTGATGCTACAATGGTTGTAAGTGTGAAAACAGTCGTGAGTTATATTTTTTTTCCAGTAGCTGTGGGAGTTTCGAATGTTGACTAAATGAATGGTTGTAAGTTGAGGGCAAACAGCAGATTTTTTAAAAACGGGGATTTGGACCGGCGAGTTCACTTCATTTGGCCTCCATTTAAAGCAACTCAGCAATCTGGGTTGGAAATGCTTCAGTTTGGCCATTGGTCGCGTAACATTTTGCTGGACGCACACAATTCATTAGACAAGCTGATGCTAAAACTGTCAAAAACAACAATAGGGGTAACATTGAAGGTCGGTCGTAGGGGTGCATCAATTGAATCAGGGGTGGCAAACTATGGCCCTTTTAGGACCTATGGACTTCGACTCCCAGAATCCCTGAG